TGATGTTAATAAAAATGAAGTTTTTGGCTTAGGTGGGTGAATCAGCATTATGCGAGAAAAAAAAACGAAAGGGAGTGGGTTGTCCTGCAGAAGCTGAATGGAAATGGAAGAAGATTTGAAAAGTGAAGTACCAGATTAAAAGAGGTTTTACTGGAAACACCTAGAAGCAAAATGCTACAAGTTATATTATGAAATCAGCTTATCAATGTCTGCAGCCTGCTAAACCTGATGTGAGTTTGTGTAATTTGGTTAGAAATAGGTATAACATTCCCAAACACAAATTGACACTTTGGATGTCTGTTTGAAGAAGACTCAGAACAAGGAATAAGCTTTTGCAATTTAGAAGCTTTTGGATTTTAGGAATTTAGTTACTTGTAATTAGTGATGCTGGAAGACTTAAAACAAATTTCAAAAACAAATTTTACAGAGTTTAAGCTATACTTTGGTTTACAGCATATGCCAACAAATAATTGGACAGTTTGGAAAGGAAATCAACAGGCATGAAGCAGTAGTTAATTGAATTTGTATAGATGTATATTGTAGATTCTGTAAAATTATTTCTAGCAAAGTTAAGGTTAAGAAACTAGCTTGGCTAGGGGGATTATGCCTAAGGGTTTAGAAACCTCAGAGAAACTCTTATTTGTAATTTAAAATTTATTTGAATTTTTTTAAAAAATTAAGGAGACAATGCTGAAAGTATTGGTGAAGACAGTATGAGAAACTAGAATGCTAGCAATAAGAGATTATTAGTTATGCACTATGCTTATTATGCCTTTAGCTTTCATCTTTACTCACGGCAACTGATTTCGTGTTAACGATACAGTATAAAGAAGAGTTGTACTCCCTTACAATAACAATTCTACAGCTACAATTGGCTATTGTAGTTGCTTACATCGACTGCAACAACTGCGGTGAACGTTGTGGTGTTGCTGCCAATTTATTATTTTATTGCCCTCAATGTCCTGACTGAAAATTCAATTTTGCTGATAGGTACGTAAGATTCTAAATTCTTTTGCTAGACACATAATATTTTTACATGTCTAATATAAATTAACAAAACTATTGCATAGTGAATTTTGACATTTGATGCTGATGATAGCAATGCATCTTTCCAACTTACTGCTTTAAGACAAAAAAATTATATTCTTTTTCCTGGTTAAATCTAAACTATAATTATATTTTATATTTTACAAATTACATCCATTTAATATTTTTGAGGCTCAATAGGATGACTTTGAAAATATTGCTAAAATTTTCAAACCCAGACTTGTGAACATCACAATTACTCCATCTCAAGCATTAAACAGGACATAGGTGCTAGGATGACTGAACAAATCTATATTCCGTGATGAATACCAATCCTATCAATCCAAGGCTTCAAATTAGTACACTTAGTTTACAGTAAGTTTCTCCTGACACTTTGGATATACTCTTGTTTGCTATCTTTTGATTTCTATTTAAGATCAGTATGTTGATTTGTAGACATTGAAATGCATCCTCAATTACTGGTTTATATGTATTCATTTAGACTATTCCTACTACTATGCAGTTTAAACATGTCATTTTTTTTTATTTAAGTTTGTATGCTTACATTGACTACCAGATTCTACTTGTTTTGCTTATAAGCTTTGAAATTGTACTTCTTTTCTTTTTGTTTTATGCAAAAGAAATAATGAACTTCTTGATGTGGATTTAAACCCCTTAAATTAATAAAGAATCTAAAATCACACAAGTAACATAAGCCCTTCGAATTTCCTAAGAAAATCGAACAACTTAAGAATAACGAACCGGATATGACTTTGAAAACGACCACTCCTGGAACGAATTCAACGCCTCTCAAATTACTAATTAACTTAGAAATTCTATTAAGCTAAAAACAATTCCTAATCAACTTAGGAACTTACTAAGCTAAAACAAATCCTAATTCAAATAGGAACTCACTTTGTCAAAAGCAAGTTCTAATCAACTTAGGAACTCACTTAACGAAAACAATTCCTAATTGAAATAGAAATCCTATGTGCTTAAAACAAGAAAAACCCTTTCAAGTGAAAGGTAAAAACTTGTAAGCAAAACTCTAAAAACTAAGTAATGAACTACGCATCTTCTTCAATGGCTACGCATGTTAACCATTCTTGATTCTTCCCTCCAATTTCGAACCCTATAGGACTTAAAACCAATATGATTGGCTCTTCAAAAGAATTTCCCTCTTGATTCACATCATTCTCCCCTTCTTCAAAAGAATTTGTCCTCAAATTCGCATCATCCATGTAAGGAGAACAATTCCATGAAACCATCCAAATTCGACGAATACAAGCCAAAAGAACTATTACCTCAACGCTAGCAATTTTAAGAAATGTAACAACATCACCACGAGCAAGGCAATATTTTAGAAACAACCAATTCTCAATTTGGTCCTTGGTCTTCGAAGTTGACCATAAGAACACTTTAGGCTTCATGATATTTTTCTCATGTATGACTAACAATTTCTTCTCTTTATGCATGCCTAATGAATCCACCACTTCTAAAGAAACCATTAAATTATTATCTTGATTCACGAATGGCTCCTCAATAGTATCAAAAACCTTTTCCGACACCACCATTGGTAGATCATTATGAATAATCTGATCTTGAACAACGTCACACACAATTGGAACATCAATTGTTTCACTCACCTTTTCTTCGAGCTCTTTAGCACCTACATGTTCCTCTTCCTTATCCTTTTGACAATCTTCCTCCATCTCTTTAACTTTAACGCGGCATGGAATAATAGTTAAAGGAATAAGTTTGAACCTCTTGTTTCCCACCTTGACCGAATATGTGTTGGCCACACCATCATGTTTAACATGTCGATCAAATTGCCATGGTCTTCCTAAAAGAACGTGACAAGCACTCATAGGAATCACATCGCACCATAATTCTTCCTTGTAATTGCCAATGGAGAAATTCACCAAAGCTTGTTGTTCTACATGAAAACCCATAGAATTATCTAGCCAACCCAACTTATATGGTTTTTCATGATCTCTTGTAGGAAGTTGGAGTTTAGTAACCATCTCTGTAGACGCTACATTGGTACACGAACCACTATCAATGATCACCCTACAAGTTCTATCATCAACTTTGCATCGAGTATGAAACAAACTATCTTGTTGACCTTGAAAAATAATTTCTTCATGTAAATTCAGTCGCTCCATAAGCATATGTTTGTTACCAAAGCAAAAATCTACGTTATCATCTTCATGTTTTTTCTTCTTTTTATGACCTTAAAGTAACTTTGCAAATTCATCCATAGATTTTCGGATCCCTTCCTCCACAATTATGTGAAAAAAACAGACATAAAAGAAACCTTATCCACACAGGTATATCCCACAAAAATCGCAACACAACTTGGAACAAAATCGCACACAACGAGCAGTAAGTATTAAATCGGACCAAAACTGACACAGTTGCGGAAAACAGTCCGGTTTAATAGCAAACGAACTCGAAAAATTCCGAAATTTCACAGGCAGAAAGAAGACAAAATTTCACCCAAAATCAAAAAACGAATCACCTGAAAAGACCTTGTAACGAAAGAGAACGAGCCTTCTGAAGTTGACAGAAAAACTGGTTATCCGAGAACAAGTGCGATTTGATGAACGAATTGTTGAACGATCAAAAACCCCTGAGCTCTGATACCAATTTGATGTGGATTTAAACCCCTTAACTTAATAAAGAATCTAAAATCACACAAGTAACACAAGCCCTTCGAATTTCCTAAGAAAATCGAACAACTTAAGAATAACGAACCGGATATGACTTTAAAAACGACCACTCCTGGAACGAATTCAACGCCTCTCAAATTACCTAGACCACTCCTGGAACTAAGTACATTGATGAACAAAACTTAGACTACTCCTAGAACTAAGAATTGAACGTTCTAATTATCAAAACAACTCCTTGAATTGAAAACTAGCAAAAGAATTTGTAAGCAATTAAGCAAAACAAACAATTAACTTGAATTTTAATGATTTTCGAATGTTATTGAAAAATCACGAAAATTACATTATTTATAGACTAAAACTAACTATTCCTAAGTCTATTCGAACTAGGAAAAAACCCTAGCCTTGATCCCCAAGTATCCTAGATAGAATAGGAGAACCAATTCCACCTAAACTAGGAAACTAGTAATAAGACTAATTCTACTTAACCTAAAACTCCTTAAAACAATTCCTAATTAACTTAGAAATTCTTTTAAGCTAAAAACAATTCCTAATCAACTTAGGAACTTACTAAGCTAAAACAAATCCTAATTCAAATAGGAACTCACTTTGTCAAAAGCAAGTTCTAATCAACTTAGGAACTCACTTAACGAAAACAATTCCTAATTGAAATAGAAATCCTATGTGCTTAAAACAAGAAAAACCCTTTCAAGTGAAAGGTAAAAACTTGTAAGCAAAACTCTAAAAACTAAGTAATGAACTACGCATCTTCTTCAATGGCTACGCATGTTAACCATTCTTGATTCTTCCCTCCAATTTCGAACCCTATAGGACTTAAAACCAATATGATTGGCTCTTCAAAAGAATTTCCCTCTTGATTCACATCACTTCTTTGTAATATAGCTTCTATTATTACCTGTTTACAATGCATACCCTGATGATGTTATCCTATTCTTACAAAAAATTAGTAATTTAAATGTTTACTTATTTATGTTCAATATTCTCAATTATTAATTGGTAGCTTAACTAAGTTTATGAACTAACAATAGACAACAGAACATAATATTTTCACTAAAGACACATTACAATAACTTACTAATTTTGAAACATAACATTCTAAGAAGCATAATAAACTTGATATCCTTACATTAGTTAATAGTTCATGTGGCAGAAAAAAACTTAAACACATTACCTAATTCACAATAAGTTTTTCTCCCAAAAGCAAATAAGAAATTTTAGTACATAATATCTAATTCAAGCCTTTACATCCTTACATCATCAGCAAAAAACAACCTTAGAATACTTCTAACGATAATTCAGATTTAGATCGACATCAAATATACCATGATCACCTTTTGTGTACTTAATGAATGCACCTTCATCTTCTTGCACATTGTACCTATCAATGAACTCCCTTATACCATTCTTCAACGAGCATTGAGTAATTGTATTTCCTTTACTCACAATTTTCAGCTCCACCTCAAATTGCTCATCAAAGTTTTGAAGAATAACATTAGTTGTCTCCCCGAATCCACTTAAAAACTTCTTAGGAAAATCCAAAGGGACATTCTACAAACAACATCACCAAAACCAAAATAGAATTTTATTAAAAAAAAACTACCAAAAACAGTAAAAAGTCATGATATGTGTTTAAGCTTGTTACGACTTACAATCTTTGCTTGCTGAAGATATAATTTTTTGAAAATGAAATTAAATTTCGATAAACGACAACCAACAACAATTTCATCAATCCAAGTATTTAATTCAATCATCTTTTCTGAATTCCCTTCGATTGCAGCTTTGCGTCCTCGCCTCTTACCAGAACTAGAAGAACCCTTGCTATATTCTAAACCTTGGACTTCTTACTTGTTGTTCTTCTAAAAATCTGAATAAGAAATGAATTGTGCCCTGAATAGCTAAAATTCAAAACATCACCAGCCTTCAGACTATTTTCCTTCACAAATTTGGACCAGCCATCTCCCAAGATAACTTTCAACTCCTCATTCTCTTCTTCATGTACCATGGTAACATACCAAAGTCTTGAATCACTATGAACTGACAATTCAACTCCTAAATTTCCATCATTTAACAATTCTTCAAACCCATTAGGAATACACTTCATATTAATACAAGATTCATCAAAATCAAAACTAAGAAAAGTATACCTAACAATACATTACCAGAAAAAATTAAAATGAGTTTAGGCAAATATTATTAAACCATACCTGATTTTTGCTATTCTCTGCTGCAAAAGGAACATAAAACGTGAAAGAAAAATCAGCCATGCAAATTTTATGCAGCTTTTTGAGGTATATATGACTATGAATTTAATTTATAGAACTTGAAAATTTAAGCTAGGCTATAGAGACATGCAATATATAGAGCAAGAAATATTTTATCACATTAATTAAATTATTTATTAATAATGCACATGTATCGAAACATATGGCTTTGACAAGAAAACACATAAAGAATATTAAGTTACATAAACTTTTTATCTCAAATATTCAATAGTAGTAATAATTACATGTTTTAATACCAATGTAATTTAGTTGATAAACATATAAAAGTTGTGAGGTTTGGCATTATATAAATGATTACTTTAGCTTTATTCAATATTTGAGAAATAAAGTTACCTTAATGATTTATCAGCCTACCAATATTTAAATATTTAAACAATATTAACATTCTATTATACTATTTTAGCTAAATTATTAACCAATCTAAAACAAACAATTTATCCAAATCATGAATTATAATTCCAAAATCCTAATTATACTATTCATTTAAATTATTTACACTTTATTGTACATATATATATTAATCATTGTCAACTCCATTTAGAGGCATTATTGTTTAAATACATGCATGTCTATTTGTATTTTTGATATATATAAGATTTAAAATTAAGTGTAGATAATTTCTTAAACATTCTATAAATTAAGAAATATACAAGTGGGAGCTAAGATGAACAACTCAAGGAAATTATCTTTTTGTACATGTTTTAGTTAAAAGATTTTCAACATCAAATAGAATTTCAAAAATTTAAAAAACACCGAGTAAAACTTTTCATATAGCTTTTCATATAATTAACTTTAAAAACACAGTAACTATTAGTTTATAGTTACTCTATTATTGGACAATTAGAAGTAATATTTGAGCATTTCCACAATTCAAACACAAGTGGACAACCTATTTGAAAAGCTACTTTTGATTTAAATAAATGAACTTAGCATATTTTGCACCCTATCATTATAAACATTAGTTATTAACTCAACACATAAAATTTATCTTGAAGGTTATAACTATTGATTAGAACTATCAGTTTGAAAAACACACAAAAATTTAGTCCATACAAACAATGACAATACTACAAAACATGAAACACACTAATAATCAATACTTATGCATAAATATATTATAATAATTAAACTTAAAGAAACATAATTTGCATAATTATAAAAATTACTTAAGTTAAATTCATTCATAACTTCCTAAAATGAGCAATTTTCATAGACAAAATTCTGAACTAATTAAGCTTCATACCTAAATCTTACACCAACTAAGCTCCATAACTAGCAAATACCATCGAAATTTCTAAGAGAGCGACGATAAGCATCTGAATCAATCGAAGACTTTGAATCATAAATTTCATCATCACTACTTAAGTAATTTCCACTACCAGAACTAGAAGACTGATTCCCTCCATCATCATCAACTTCCTCCTCAAAACCATATTCATCAGCTTCACCCTCATCGTCATCATCATTATCGTCCTGTTCCACCTCTTCCTCTTCTTCTTTCTCCATTTCTTGCTCTTCTTCTTCTTCTTCTTCTTCTTCTTCTTCTTCTTCTTCTTCTTCTTCTTCTTCTTCTTCTTCTTCTTCTTGTGTTTTCTGCTCCTCTTCTTCCTCTTGCATGGGCATAGCAAGAGATTCTTCTACTTTATTCATTGAAACAGAATGCTGCTCCACTTGATTATCCAAGTCAGCCACTTTATCATGGACAACTTCTTTAATCACTTCCTCACCATCACTTATCTGCATATCCGACTTTTTGACCTTAACTTCACCAGCCACAGCACCATTTCCATTATCAATCCCACCCTGCATTTGAGATGATTCACCAACAATAAATCCCGACTTCGTAGGAGGAACTAAATCATCATCATTACCACAATCCGCAAGTTGCTTGTTTATCACAATGAGCTCTTTTAGCAACTCATCAACCTTACGTATCAAGTCCACTCGAAATTTCAGGATTGCACAGAGTTGTTCTTTAACATTTGCCTTCTTTTGATCAAGAAAGCAACGATATGCATGAAGAAATGAAGCTTTTTCATTGTTTTCACCCATATTTTAGGATTAGAACAAGTTATTGAAGGAAAAAAGAAAACTTTCTTTTTGACAAGATAAAAAATTATACAAGAGATGATTTGTGGACATAAAAACAAATGAAGAACACTTGGATTATATAACCGTCAATTGCAACTCTTTCACATACATGTCAATTCATATTCTTTGCCAACCCCCTTTTACACAAAAAAAACAAAAAAAAAACTTTGTTACTATTCATATAATTTACAAATACCAAGGAAAAAAGTTCTAATTCTTTAATAATTAAAACTTCTTAAATGTACTACATGAGAGCATTCTTAAAATAGATAAAAAAATATAGTATTATACTATAATTTAACGTCGACAAACAACTACACGGTAAAGTTCACTTCTATAACAATCAATAAAAATAATATTTACATTACTTATATGAACATAACAAAATACACGAATATAAAAAGAAAAAAATTGCTCGCAAACATGTAGAAAAACATAAAGTTAAATTATTATTTACAAAGGTTAGTACTAAATTACGATTCAAATTATAAAGGTTATTTTTAATATTGATTAAACAAACGAGTGTATCTATTTCTAGGTGAATATAGTTCTAAACAAGTTTCATAAGTTTTTTGGTTTATTATAAGATCTTATTATGTTAATTGAGTGATAATCGCTAAATATAATGTTTAAATTAAATCCGATTTTTTAAAACTGAATAATTAAACAAATCATTGATGTTTGCAATGACAGGCTAACATTTCTAAGCCATGTTTAGAAATTGATCCCAAATTAATGTTTGCAATGACAAGCTAACATTTCTTCATTATTAGAAAAATCATTGTATTATTCATTCTCACTAACAATGACAAGCTAACATTCCGATGTCTCATTATCACTAACATATACCACTTATCAACAAAAATTTTACAAATCATGCATTCTCAATCTTGAATTGTTTACAAAAATGTCAATAAGCTGCAAATAAATAAATCAGACAGTAGACTACTAAAACAAAAACTTAATCAAAACCTAAACTTAGAATTTTAGAAATCCACATGAACCAACTACAAAGGCTTAAACAAAAATTCAACCTACTAAAAAGCCGGGTTGACCCAAAGGTCGAATTCTCCTAATAACATCTACACTTATCAAAAGAACAGTAAACTAAAACATATTACATTATTAATTCTTGTACCAACAAAAGTACACAAAAACTCAGTTTCAATTCCCCCTATAAAAAAACCAAGGTTAGGCAAACATTCACCTATAATCTGTCTTTCCATTAAAACTTCCTACCCTGATACCATTTTGGACGACCATTAACTGTTTCTTAAATTTTCTCTGACACAGATTGCTTAGCCTCTTCACGACGACGCTGACCATCCATCCTAGTAGCATCAACAGCAGCCTAAAGTTCTTCTATTCTTCTACTTGTCTGCAAAATATCTTCATCCACCCGCAGCATCGACCCTTACAATATAGCCATTTCTTCCTCCAACCCACTCTTCCGAGTCTGCAAATTCTTTAAACGACGACGTAACAAAGGTAACTGCATCCAGGTGGCATAACCAACAAAAGGAACAGTTGTAGGCACTGCAGATGAGAAAGCTGACCTGATTAAACAAACTTTCAGGTAAGTTAATAAACAGTAGAAACAAAGAAAAACGAATTCCAACAATTCAAAAAACGAGCATGCTCAAATTAAAATGATTTAGATTTTTATAAAGTTAATTACTAATAACAATCAACATTTTTTGTTGTTTTAGTAATTCATTCAAAATTCCAAGGTGTTTTAATTATAAGTATTTCCAAAGTTAACTTAATTATAAACATTTTTATTAAAAAAAAGGCTTGATTCAAAAATAAACTAAATGATGCCCCTCAAAAAAGATAATTCAAGAAAATTACAACAATTAGCAATGGAGCGAGAGAGACCAATTAAGAAAAATCATTTAAGGAAAATAGGGCAATTAACTTATTTAGAAAAATAAAGAATATATTAAGTTATTGTATTTAAACATGAACTTTATTTTAAAGGTTATGACTATCAATTATTAAATGGATATCTTCGAGTCTATGGATATTTCGCAAGTTTGATGCATTGCCACCGATTCCAATCAATTACATTTTCGGAAACACAAGCTAATCGTAACTGAAACTCATGCAAAAAACTCAAACAACACTATTAACAAGAAAAGAACACAAAAAATGTATTTTGTTAGAACACTAACCTTATTTTTCTTTCTCATCACATAATTTTAGAAGTATCTTGTTATAACACTAATTTTACCATCAAATAAACACTTCCACTAACTTGCATAATTATAGGATTCTTTCAACAACATTTTAGAATTTACAAAGCCCTTTATAATTATCTCTTTTTTTACAGATTTTTTTTTATAATTTTCAAATCTTTAAGAAGAAAGAACAAGAACAAGTCATCTAGATACATTCTTGTAAAAGTTGTCAATACCTTCACCTAAGTCCCTACTATCAATTTTGCCTCATTTGAGCTACTAAACAAATAGAAAAAGATGCCCTACCAATCAACTTATAACTCAATTTGTCAACAAATAATTATTTAACTAATTTGATATCAAAACCCTAAATTATAACATAAATCAACCACGTAAATTCAAAACAAAGTTAACAATCATTCTACTTACTTAACACAAATTCTAAACCAAACTACTGCAAGGAATTTATACACATTATAACAACAAATAAACAAGTTCACTTATGCAATATCAAAATAATTTATACTAACATTAATACACAGAATAAAATAAAATCAAAGATGATCAATCAAACAATTCAATTTTGAAAAAAGGTAATGATCGCACCTTTAAACAAAGCCTTACAAAAAAAACACTTCGAAAATGGAGCTGTTCCCACGCAGATAGAACAACAGTATAAGAGAAAACCCAAATTCAATTTCTGAAAAATGAAGGGGGAAAAAAAGGATACATGATGAAAAAAAAAATAAAAATAAACTGAGATTTCATAAGGCTTATTTAAAATAATGTTACATGGGTACAAAAGAAGCCCAAATTAATAAGGCTTATTGAAAATTAAAAGAGAGAAAATTTCTTAAAACTGGCCCAAACAATAATATTAGGACTTATAAGTTTACATAGACTTCTATATTTTCCTGTGTCACATCAACCTCAATAAGCAACCTTGCAAAAGGCACCCTCATTTGCCTGGAAGTGCATGCATCAGCATACAAAGGCACCCCTACAATACTTCCAATCCTACTTAGGGAATCAGGACTCCAACAATTCAAAAGAAGGTAGGGAATCTAACCCAAAGAGGGACAGTTTTCAAAACCTCAGCATGAAAGTCAAAGCCAGCAGTCCAAGGCTTCACAACAGTAGGTCTCCCAAGATACATATGAGGCCCAGAGCACAACGTTTTTATCAACTTCACTAGCAACCATCATCATGAAGAAATATATCAGGTTTAGCCACATGATTCCATTGTTCAGCTTATTCAAAGCAGTCAATGTAGGTTGAAAACCAATAAGAATATGATAGCAGAATTCCATTTTTCACTACCTTAAATGACTCACTCGAAATTTAAAACTTTTTTCATCTTCGTTAAAAAAAATCAGGTAAATTCTAGGTGTTAATATGTTAATCGTATTTACAATGAAAATATGACCTGATCGTATCTCAATATACAATACATATTATTTTTGTGTTTAAAGGGGGAAAAAAACCCACACTAAATTCTCGAAGTATAATTACAACAAATAAGTCATAATATTCCAACGCAACATTACGATCGACAAGATATAACCTCCGAAATTTTCCATTTTATACTATCGCGCGCCTTTATAAACATACTTATACAGATACTATCGTGTATATTTTACTATTAATGTATAATTCTTTGTTTAGTTTTATTTAATAGCATGAAATATTAACTTTTAAGCTTGTTTTAAGGGATGTGTTCTTTGGGAGGGTTAGATATTTGTTTGTTTGTTTGTTTTTTGGGAATACCCTTGCATGCAGTCTTTCTTTTACCCTTTTCTTGCTTCGGCGTTCAGTTCTACCAATATCTTTCTCTTTCCTCTGAACAGAATTTTTGCTCTCCATGGAAGCGGCTCTTAAGCTTGTTCTTTCATTAAATTAAAGCTGCTTCTGAGGTTAGAATTGTTCGTTAGCCCAACTATATTATTCAAAATCATAAGCCTTAATATTATTGTTCCACCTCTTTTTAGGCCATTTAGTTTTGATGACATTCTTGTAAGTAAATAATAACTTTAAAAGAAATAGTGAATTCCCGAATTTGCCATTGTTTTTTTCGCAACAAATTGCCTTTACTTTCGACGAATCTAATACATTCTCGTCACGTAGATTCATAGTTATTGGAACAATGAAATCTAAATCATAGATAGTTACCAAAATATAGTAATTTATATGCTTGCCTATGCATGTACAGTTTTTTTTTAGTTATTTATTGCTAGC